AAGACAGGAGAGAGCCCTGGGTTTACAGCCGTGAGAAGAAAGCTGACCTCTTTTCCTGACATGAGAATGGGGTCATGCAGGCCTTCCCAGCCCAGGATGTTCTCCAAGAAAATAATGAGGCTGGATGTAGACAGGTCCTAGCCCTCGGACATTGTCCTTTGCATCCTCATGAAAACCAACCTCTTGTGACCCCACAGTTGCTCCCTCCCCCTTGACTTGGTGCAGTCAGCTTCAGACAGAGTCTGTCTTTTGCTCCTCCTGTTTTCTGGAGTCTTTTATTTAATTCTGTCATCACTAAGATGAATCTAGCAAGTAAACTCAGAAGACGGAGCCTATACCTTCGGTAGCATTCCAATCATGCTACCCTGTGCTTCTCCTTGTATATCACCTTGTTTTCATCTCATGAGGGTAGATTTTTATCTGGGGTTCATAAAAAAACCTACATCAATCAAAGAATTAGAGATATAAGTTTAGAAGGCGAAACAAAATCATTTTATTGGAAAGAGGAGAGAAATAAGGAAATAGACAACCACCTTGTCAGAGTAAGGTAGAGTGTATAGAGCTGGAACTCTGAGTCTTTGATCTCAGCCCCTTTTAATACATGGCAAGGAAGGGACTCTCCCCACTGAGAGCTCTTACTTGACTGGCTATTTTGGGCTCTGAGACCCTGATCTGGCCACTGCCCCTTCCATTGCCAACGTGTACGTTCTTGGATAAGGACTTCTTTGTCCTCTTTGTGCTGGCCAGGGGCTTACCTTGTGAGATTTACAGCAGAGCCTCACATTCAAGGGCGAGTTAGCAAAAAGAGATAAATGTACACTTTAGTGTATTAATACTGTATGAGAATAATAAGATATTAGCATGTATGTTTTCATTATATAGCTGTGTGTACTATGATAAAATATGTATACAGGTGTGTGAGTGTCTAAGTGTTAGTGCATATTTTAGATACTGAGTGAGATTTTTATAAGACAGCCCCCTCCCCACTTTGTTTTTTCGTGTGTTTAACTTGAGGTGGAGGGAGTAGGGCATGGAGTCCTAGCAGGAAGTGAGTGCTTTCTGATTGCTTTTCTTAGCTATTCTCTCCAGTAGGGGTTTAACTCTTCATTTCCCAGAAACCTCACTGAGGCCCTTTAACTTTCTCTGCCTGTTTCCCAACTTTCTGCACCATCTCTCTTCTTCCAGAAATGTGAAGAGTAATGCAAGGGAAGTTCTCTGAGCTACACAGCATAAACCTTGTGTTAACAGGAAAAGCATTCATTCAAACAGTCGGAAATACAGTCAAGAACAGGGAGTTTTCTCAGAAGTGATAGCTGGTGTTCTGCACAGATCACAGCTTTAATGCTCAGGACTCTGCCTCCCTACCCCTTCTCAGCTGGCACCTCCCAGGAGTGCTTCTGCTCTCCTGACAAATCACACATTTTGATGGTGATGAACAAACCTCAAGAATATGCTTTGCCTGCAGGACTAACTAGCAATCAATAATGTGAGCAGAGAGTCCTACAACACTAAAAACTTGTCCTTCTACTTTCTCCATGGCTTTCCTCTTGTCTTGGGCTGTTACTTTCTTGGTGTTTGCTTTCACCATAAGGAGAACAAAGTGCAGAACAGTACAAACATAGGTTTTGGAATAGAGACCTGAGTTGGATACCCAGCTTCAGTCAACTAGTTAACTAATTCACTTATCATCTGTGAGTCTCAATTTCCTCACTAATAGGGTGAAAATAAAAGTAAGACTTAACTCGTAGGGATACTGCTAAAAGTCATACTATGTGTGTAAATCACTTAATTTTGATTATGATATTCAGGGGAAACTCAAAAATTGTTTCTATTTTGATCAGCAAACAAAACTGTTCCTTTGTGATATTAACTGATTCATTCTTGTAACTGTACCTCACTTTCTGTACTGATCTCAAAGGGATACAACAGCAAAGGCATACTGACCTCTGCACCTTACCTTGTACATTTTGAATGCACTGCTGAAATTCTGCCAGAAACTGAAGGAGAAGGCTTACCTCTTTAAGGATAGATAATTACTGTTGACAGCCAACCAGCTTGAAGACGCACTTTGGGATTAATTGCAGTGACCCATAATTAAACACAACAGTACTTAGAGGGAGACCTGATGTTCCGGAAAGCATTGTCTCAGGAATAATGAGGGTCTGTCATTTCTGTTTGCTTCCAAGTGGCAGTTATCAACATTAATTACCCAAATTTTTTACTGAAATCAGGGGAAATGCATGAAGCATTGCTGTCAAGAGAACTTTTTAAATATTTGTCACTTTAAAGTGAATATATTTATGTTTATAACTATGATGGGGGAAACTTCTAAGGACAAATTAGTCCATACCAGTTTTCTTTAAGTGACATGTTTCATTCAGAAGGCTAAGTGGAAATTGTTTGATAACTTGAAAGTGTTGCTCTCTCTCCTAGAGAAAGAGCACTAACGTTTCACAGCAGGACTAGAAGCAAGAGTAACACAGAGCTACCAACCAGGAGAGAATGTCCCAGTCCACCCAAATGTGAATTATACGGGAGTGTGCATTTATTCTGTTTCATTCTCATACCGTTCTCCTGGATACCTAGGAACAGCTTCGTCTTCCACCTAGCTCATTTCTACTCTTCAGATAAACGATTAGAAATAGGAGCCTGCACCAATTTGTTAATATTTTTTCTTAAATATAACCAAAATAATCTGCAATTAAAGATGGAAGCAAAGCTCACAGCCCTCAGCACCTTTGAGTACCCACAAAAAAAATTTTAAAGGAATTTTTTGAAATATGAAGCCACACCAAACAATGAGAAATGATACAATAGTAAGAAATGGAAAGCACAGGATATAAAATATAGGACAAACGTGAAAGCAAAACCCAGGATGATTCTGATGTGAGATCCCAGGTGACTACTGTGAAGAGTGACAATAAATAATACAGACAGGAGGGGTCCGAAAGCCCCAGGAAAGACAGACTTTCTGAAGTCTTTAATAACATGAGGAGAAAATTTACACATCGGACATAACATTTGGAGATCATTTATTCCTTTATGTTTAGAAAATGAAAATCTTTTTGAAGTATGAGTTGGTTGCAAATAGGAATTAAGAGTATAATTTCAGGAAATTATAATAATTTCAAAATATAACTATACTTTCAAGAATATAACTCAGGAAAAAAGCCTGAGATCCTGTGGAGTCAGGTAAATGCTGCATGCTACCACCCTTGTGCAGAAGCTTAGGAAGTCTTGGTGGAGAGTAGAACAGTGATTGCCAGAGGTGGGGAATGGGGAGAAGCAGGTGCTAAAATAGAACGGGTGATGGGTTCAGGCTGCCATTGGGAAGGAAGAGTAACGTTCATTGTGTGGCACAGCGGGGTAACCACTGTTGACAACAACTAATTGTTTATTTCCAAATAAGTGGTAGAGAGGATTTTGAATGTCCCTAATACAAAGGAATGAGAAGTGTTGGAGGTGATGAATGTACTACTTACACTAATCTGATCATTACACATTGTGCACATGGGTTGAAATACCACACTATACCCATAAATGTGCACAGTTACTGCATGTTACTTGCTCATAGAGTTTAGCTATGGGTTTTCGAACCAGACTACTTGTTTCTTGGCTCCATCACATACACCTTATTTTCCTGACATGTACAGCAAAGAGGGTAGCAGTAGCACTTATCTCATAGTGTTGTAGTGAAAAATATATGAATAATCAATGTAAATCTCTAAAAACAGTGTCTCTCTGCAAGAGCTCAATACATATTAATAATATATGCTTTGTACTTAGAGATATGTGACATATAAACAGTCATAGTAATAAAAAGTGAATAATCAATAAACAGAATACAGTACTAATGAGGTACAATAGAAAGGTGAGAAAAGTATTTGTGGTGAGTAAAAGGGGTGTGTAAGGGCTGGAAATTTAGCTCAGTGGCAAAGCCCCTGCCTGGCAAGTGCAAGGTTGCAAGTTCAATTCCTGGTACCGGAAGAAAAAAAAAAGGGGGGGGGTATGTACACACAGAATGATATTCTCAATATCTATTATTTCTTGGTTTTTTTGGGACAGGGTCTCACTATGTACCTCAGGTTGGCCCCGAACTCATAGCAATCCTCCTGCCTCAGCCTCTCGAGTGCTCAGATTACGGGGCATGTACCACCATGGCCAACTTCAACATCTATTATTTCAGAATACCTAAAAGAAAAATGGCCTAAAGTAACAGTAAAAGCATACTATTTAGAAGCACATATAAGAATATTAAATAATTAGCTTAAAGACTTAAAAACGGTTGCCCTCTGAATGGAGCCATGGATAAAATGCAGGCATAGTTATTCATTGCACACAGAGTAGAAAGGTGTTTGACTCCTTCAACTGTGCACATGAACTGATTTTAAAAATTAAAATGAAGGTTAAAACAAATAAAGCCATCCGAATGTAATGCTGAATAGAAAGTGGTTAACAAAACAGCACATGGATGAGAATGGGGAGGGATTTTTGTCCATGGAGAATAACACACATTCATTAACCAGATATTTTAGACAAAGCAATGAAGCTCTTTCCAAGAAGGCTCCTTGGGCATGTTATGTTTTGGAAAACATCTGACCCCAACGGTCAGCCTTCTTCTGCACTGTAAAGGACCCCCCCACCCAGCCCTGCGCCTCTGTAATGGTGGAAATCTGAAAAGAAGAGACAAAGACTCTGTGGACCCTCTGGGTTCTGCTCGTGGCTGACAGATGTTCCTAAGGAGGATAATGAGATAAAGGCTCCTCCAGCTGGTCCTTAAGCAGAGCTTACACCGGAGGAGAAAATTAAGCAGATTATCCAGATACACACACACTGCAGGTTCTCCCTAACTGAGCACTTGTAAAGGTAAACCAGGAAGGTTACCTCACTCAGCTGAAACGTATATTTTATTATTTTTCATATTTCCAACCTTTCACTACTTTAAATGAAATTTGAGGTTGCTCAGTGATTTTCAGGATTGCTGATGCACAAGCACCAGGATGTGTCTGGAAGTTAGAAGAGCTATTTTTGTGTTTTGGATTTTTCTACATGTTCAAGGAACCAAAGGTGAGTGGTTTAAATGCTCATTTTTTAAATTGCTTATCTGTAAAAATCTATGCACAGCAATGAACATTCAGAATTGACACGTGTACCACTGTGTCTTAGAAAGCAAGTAAATGGTAGGTTCTGAATAAAGACTGATTTACTGGTTGGTTGGTTGGTTGGTGGGTTGGGTGATTCATTACTAAAAATGTTAGTTTGTAATTTAATGGTCACTACACAAGCATAAGTGCAATTTTGTGTCAAAAAGGAGAAGCAATGATGTATACTATTTGCTACTGTAAAACATATAATGCAAATTCATATCACTAATATGAATGAGTAGGACCGTGAAACCGATTCAATTTACTCACCTAAATTAAACATATACAATTTAAATTTGAAGTTAATTTTTAAGAGCTGTCTCAAACCAAAGTGTATTTCTTACTTTCTCCCAAGTAAGTCCTGAATTGTTTGTGCTTAGAAAGTAGCACGTGTGATTCGGGGCTCGTGCTGACAACTTTGGAGAGTTGTCTGTAGATAAAGGAATGGGGCAGTGCAGGTTCTATGGCAGAGAGCTTCAACTGAATTGAAACTAAAGCAAGCCACTAAACAAGCTTGCCTAAGAAAAATAATGTATTTTATTTTTTTACAAACCTCCTAAAGAAAGCTTGATTTTTTAAAGGATAAGCCTGATCACTACAACAGACTCAATCTTTTAAGGTGTTTGAAATCATCAATGTTAGATTCTTCTTTAACGATGACATTGAAAGACTCTGATAATGAAACATTTAATTGAAGTATTGGCTTGAAAATGTCCACAGAAAGTAAAATAATTGTCGCATTTGTAAGTCATGAATAACTGTGATTCCGTCTGTTATTTTATACATAAATTCTCAGTGTTTACATTTGGAGGAAGAAAAGATTTCTGGAAAAATTTGTGCTAAAGTTACCTTGGTACTTCATTAATTATAAATGATGGTAGATGAAGCAAAAGTTTATGTGCCTACCCTTTCAATTATCAATTGTATTTAAATTTTACATTTATAAAAACATTTCAACTGGAAACAAATGGTGGTATTCTAATATATTCTGAGCTTAATCTGCTGAAGTGCACCAGTTTATCTGTTTGATAAACTTAATCAGGCAAAGCAGTTTTGCTTTTTTGTTTGATTAATCATGTGAACTAATTTAACTACTTTTCTATTTTCATATATTACATATCAGCCATTACAAACAATTAAAATAGTCTAATTATATACAATAAGTTAAATAAAACAAGCATACAAAAAAGCAGCAATATGTTATATTCTTATTCTAGGGAACTGTGTTCTAACTGCATAAGTGAAAAATCCTGACATACTACTAGTTTGGGGCTCCTTACTCTATATGATCCTAAGATCTAGGAATAGCTGTTACTCTTTAATTAGTGAATCTGTATTAATTAAAGTTTATGTACTTAGCAGGACTGGTTTGTATTTGTGACTGATTAACCATCATGAGAATATTTGTATAGAAAATGGTTTAGGGAAAAGAAAAACGTTCAACACAACTAGCTGTTAATAGTTGAGGGCTTAGTTAAATTTAACAGTTGCTTTTTTCAATAACTTTTTTAAAAATCAAAAAATTATTTAAAAGCTTACCTGTAATAATTCCTTCCAAACACAGGTTTCCTCAGGTTTCCCAGGCTTCCTCAGTCTTTTTCTAATCATGCTAATTTATGTTAATTTAATTTCTATATGATTTTAGGTCTGCAACATACTACCTCAGGTTTTTGGCAGTTTTATTGCATTAGATAATTTTACAGCGCTATCTAGTTTGGAGGAGCATCAATTTATTGACTGCATAATGTTTCTTTAAGAGGTATATCAAGATTTGCTTTATCTGAATACTCAACAAAAGAAAATGACTTGTTTTTAATTACTTGATTTTAAATAACCACAATAAAGACAAGTAGTCTTGCACATAAGTTTCTCAGTACTTAAGATTCATCATAAATTCGCTAAAATAAAACTACCGGGTCAGAGCAGCATAAACTGTTTTATGCCATGACAAATTGCTTCTAAGTTTTTCTACACTTTTCAATGATTTTCCCAGTTTGGTTCTAGAAAGTGCTTACCACATACACAACACTGTGCTAGACACAAAATACAAAAAGAGTCAAAACATATCAATATTTCAAATGGTTTCCTTTAAGGTTTACAGATTCTGGGTGTAGTTTTCCCATATATGCACAAAGGCAAAATGCTTCAATTTTGAAATGTTCATTAAATAAAATTATTTTAACATACAAGCACATACAAAAAGATACTTCAACATTTCAAACAATTATTTCAAGACCAAGGTTCTTCCCTTCAGGATTCATGAAAGGGGTGCCCTTCTGTCTCCTACACATGGTGCTGCTCTATGTTCTCATCTTTCCATTTCATATAACAAATCTCATTTTATTGCTTGTGACATTCAATGCGTGGGAGAAAGAAAAAGAGAGAAAACTCACCCTTGGCAAGCCCTAAAATAGGACTGTGTTTATCTTAATATGTCCCTTCTGCATTACATTTGGTTATACTAAATGAAAGCTTTCACTAAGTTATTATTAGTTCACCAAGGCAGGATACATATTTTAGTAGCTGGAAATGTCAGGAAATTTATATTTGAAGATACTTCACTTCTTGCTGGGCTATAGAGACACACACTCATTTCATAAAATTACCCAGGAAGCTATTTTCCCTTCTTGTGGCTGCATTAACAGAGAACCATCGCACACGTGAGACAGCTGCCAGTGTGGTCACATTGACTCCCCAGCCCCTGTACCCCACCTGCCTGTGCTAGTCTCGAGAGGATATAATTCAAGAGCAACAGCGCAGGTTGCTTCGGTTGTGTTCAGTCACATCTGAGATGTTCTTAAAATCAAAACTTTGTAGATTGAAGGTGACTGTTGAACTCGGCAAACTGTGGGAACACACCTAAAGCGTTATCAGGTTGTATACTTGCTTTAAAAATAAAAAGCAATTGCTGTCTCGTGGCCCCTTCTGCTTGTAGCACTGAGCACATGAGGAGACTGCTGTCTGTGTAAGCTAATTAGGAGCTGGCTTTATCTGCTGCTCTTTGGGCCATTTCTGTCAAACATGAGAGTGCTGCCATATTAAATAGTGACTCTGTTTGCACACTAGTACATAGTACTTTGTTGCTACAATCGTTTTCACAGACTATTCTTTTTGTAAACAATCCACCTGAGGCAACGAAGTTTGCTTTTTACAATACAATTTAACCTATATTTTTTTAAGGACTATAATAAAAGTGCTGGCCTTGTCACGGCATTGTGAACTGTAAAGCTCCAGGTGACTGCAGTCTCATCCACAGTACTTCTTGCTTAAGAATAAGAAAGATACTTCTGTAGGTGTAAGGTGAAAACTAATTATTCCAACCCTTAGAATACCGCAAAAACAGTGTGTTGGAAGGAAAGCTTCTAACAAGAATGTGAGCTTTATCCTCCCAAAGTGGAACTTTTGGGGACCCAAGGCCTCACAGAACAAGAGCACCATGTCAAATGGAACCGCTTTAATAAGGGAAGAGGATGTGCTTCTTGCCCTGTGAAACCAGATGTGAATGCCAAAGCCAGCTCGAAGTGAACTGATGAGGTCTCCCAACTCAACCATGGAGACGAGAATTCAGGATGGAAACGCCTCCATCCATCTGGGAACTGCAGCAGACAGTGCTATCATTTGTTGAGAACATTTTCCCAAGCCTGCGCCTCTCACAGCCACAGCAAATGCAGGAAGAACATCGGAGAGCTACAGGACACAAGGCTACTTCTAAGCATGAGGGTGTCAGTTGCTAATACCTCCATTTATGTTCACGCGCTCTTGAGGAAATGGTGCCTTTCCCCGGAGTGCCTTCGCAAAGCCACCTTGATTCGCCCCAACCTGGCTTTCTTTGTTCAGCCTTCCCATCTCTTCTCCATCACTGACGTCTCTTTCGGTATTGTCCCCCAGAGAAAGGGAAAGAAAGCCAAAGAGAAAGGAGTCTGAGGGAGCTCAGTCAGGATCTCAAAATCACTGAAATGTCCCACATCTGAAAGTTTTAACTGCATACAGAAAAGAACATGTACAGACCATGTATCTTCAGGTTTCTGCTGCATCTGCAAATAAGCAAAATTACATTTAACTGAGCCACAGTCTGAAGCACACGGTGCTATTATTGATCCAGTATACCCGGGTCAGTCTAGACCTGATCAAAACACTTCCCAGACAAGAGGTGCGCTAGCAAATGTCAGTAGTCTTTAGCTTAAAGTATTTTCCTTCTAAAAGCACAAGCCGGGTGATAGGTAATATGCTCATTTGTAGTTGGGAACCTAAGACAGAGAGTACTAAAATCATTTGTGGTAGAAGAATTAGAGCGAAAACTGAGACTTGATCTGTACCCAGCCCTGCTTCACATACAGTTTTTCTAATAATCAGTGCAATGTGATGATGGAACTGAGGTGGTTTTTACAGCTCATTTAAAAGCCAGCTTTCTTTTGCTGAGCATCAGATGATTGCTACTTCTGAGCCACTGCTACCATCCGTTTTTCATGGCTGGTCTCAGAATAGCTGGTAATATCCTTCATCCTGGAATCCCATGCCCTGAAAGCAGGGCACCTGTCTTAGAACTTCTGTTATACATTTTTAAATAGATGTAAAGTTATAAACTCTTCAAAGAACGTTTCATGGTGTCTTCTTAAGTGCCCACCATTAAAGCCTTAGTTTAGTGGTAAGCAGCATACTTAAGACTGTGTTATTTACCTAAAAGTAGCACCTTGCCTCATGGATATTATTTGACAAAATGGAAAGCCTCTTCTCAGCCAAGAGTAACACTACCACCTGCATCTAGACATCAAAATTTCACCTCTACATTTGCGATAGCTTTGGCCTTTGCAAAAATTCTGAAGCACTACTTTTTAACAACTTCCCCTCTTTCTTTCTATTGGATCTGGTCTTATTTTCACCCCGCTACCTTGGCCTCTCCCAGGTTCTGAAGTTCCTCTGCCT